AAGGGGTTACAGCGAACGAAAAAAAAAAGGTGGTAATCTGATGGTGCCATATCTGGAGAATAAGGTGGGTGGGGCAGAACTTCCCAACCCAACTCCATAATCTTGTGTTGCGTCAAACGTGCCATATGTGGACGTGCATTGTCATAGAGAACACATTTCCGATTGACGAGTGAAGGGCGTTTCTAATGAAGGGCTTGATTTAAACGTTCCAGTTGCTGACTATAGATCTTTGCATTGACAGTTCACTGTGGATTGAGGAGTTCGAAATAAATTACTCCTTTGTTGTCCCACCAAGTGCAAAGCATCACTTTCTGCGGATGGAGTCCAGGTTTTGGGGTTGGAAGTAGATTTCGTCTAGGACTGAGCTATTGTTTTTGGCGTTTAATATTCGCATAGAGAATACATTTTTTCATCACCGGTGGTAATTCTGTCCAAAAATGGTTCACGCGCCAGAAGAGACGAAACAGCGTTCACACATTGGAAACTATGATCATCGGAGAGTGCGTGAGGCACCCAAACACCTTCTTTATGGAGTTTCCCATTTTCCTTAGATGTTTACGTGTTATCTGATGAGAGACATGCAATTTCAAGGCCATTTCGCGATTGTGTTGCCTTGGGTTAGACTCAACAAACGTTTTCAGAACATTAATACCATTTCCACCATGTCGTCCCCTGCCATCACAGTTTTAAGGCTACAGTCACCTGAACGAAATTCGCTGAACCATCGTTGATATTTATGAATGTTTAAAACGTTTCCATAAACTTCTTTGATATTTTTGTGGCTACAGAGGCATTGTTTCCCTTTTTTGTATTCAAACAGCATTACATGCGAATGTCTATCATTAATTTCTTGACGATCTAATAGTAGGTCATAAGTTGTATCCCATCTAACGCATAAGCACTAACAGGTCACAAGTTGTATCATACACAACATGCAAACACAAACAGGTCATATATTTTACCGTACACGACACGTAATCACTAACAGATCACGTCTTTTATCTTATACAGCATATAAGCACTAACAGGTCACAAGTTGTATCGTACACAACACGTAAACACTAGCAAGTAACATCTTTCATCCTGCACAACATGTAACTTATGAAAGATGATCCTTCAAATGATATAAACACTGAATGGTATATCTGCAAGGCTGGACACCATGGAAATTAGGAAAGATCTTTATTTTATACTACTTTAAAAATCATCCTTAACTAAAGTACGCAGCACATGATTATGAATACGTTTGAAAAATGGTCACATTTCACAGCAACACAATAGTTATAAATGAACAGCAGAGTTTGTTTAAACAGACATAAGTATTTAGTATAGGTGAACAGACCAAACCGATGGAAAGCATATAGAGCACAATTTGAGCTCCTGGCAGAAATAAATGGATGGACAGAGGAGCAGATGGCAGTATACCTGGCAATGAACTTGAAGGGACAACCACTGGAAATACTTGGACAGTTGTCAACAAACGACAGGCACAACTATAGAGCACTGGTAGCTGCTCTAGAAATCAGGTATGGAACCCAAAATCAGCCCGAAGTCTACAGGGCTAGGTTTAGAAAGAGAGTCTGTGCTAAAGGAGAAAGTCTGCAAGAGCTGGCACAGGATTTGGAAAGTATGCCACACAAATCCAACCAACTGCACCACCCAATATCCTCAAGTTGTTGCTGAGGGATCAGTTTGTAGAAGCCTAGGACAGTTCACAACTGATGATACAAGTAAAACAAGAACACCCCTCTACTATGCAGGATGCAATGCTCAGAGCTCTTGAATTCGAATCCTATGTTAAGTCCAGCACAGAGGTACCAAGGTTGGTACAGTCATCAGGATTCAAGGCTAGAAAAGGTCAGCTTTCAGAGAAGTTTGAGGGACTTTGCTGGCACTGTAACAAACCAAGGCACAAGAGAGAGCTCAATGCCGACAACTTCAACACAGGGAAGATGCCACGGCAGGAAAGGCTGCTACCCAGAAAGGTTGTTGGAACTGTGGAGAGCAAAAACATATGAGGAGCCAGTGTAAGAAGAATACTACCAATAAGTCAGCTTTGGGAAACCAGCAGTGGTTGGTGCTGAGGGACACCCATCAATCGCCACAGTGAAAGTCCCAACAGTTAGGTGTAAAATGCCAAGCACACCTATTGTTTACGTGACAGGAAAGCTGGATGGCCAAAAGTGCAACTTTGTCATACATTCTGCATCTCAGCAAACCCTTGTGAGTATCAAGGGGATGGATCACAAAGGAGTACCAGAATCTATACAGAAGCTTTGTGGTGTGACAGGACATTCTGCAAGGTTGTGGGGACCAGTGTGGGTAAATGAAGGACAGACATAAAGTATACTTGGCTGACAATAAAGACCCACGCATACTTGGGTTGGACTACTTACTACCGAGAAAATGTGTAGTTAATTTTGATAAAATGATGTTTGGGAACAACAATGGCCAAATTCTGGTAAGTGTTAAAAGAGAGGTTGGACTAACCAGGTGCCATCAAACTGAAGTCAAAGTGACTGAAGGAGTTGATGATGGTGACGTGGAACCAGGAATAGATATTAAAGCAGAATAGGAGAAAGACCAAGATTTGAAGCCAATAATTGATTTCCTGCAAGTAAGTGTTTTTCACCCTTCTTGGGAGAAGGTGTCTAGCTTAAGCCCTGTTACAAAACTGTTGGGCACAATGGGACCAGTTGAAGCTTGAAGATGGTATTCTTGTCTGAAGATGGGAAACTGCAGATGGGAAGGTGACGATTTGGCAAACGGTTATACCGAGAAAGTTACGGGAAGTTGTGCTGCGTCAATCCCATAATAGTTTAACAGGAGGACATATCGGAGTTAATAAGACATCGAGTCACCTACGACAGAGATTTTAATGGATAGATATGAAGCAAGATGTGGAAGAATGGTGCAGGACCTGCAGCACATGTTGTACTAAAAGGGGACCCAAGCATAAGGGA